AGCGTCTCGAACGAAAGGCTTTGGAAACCAGTGATGTGCTGGACAACCATTTGTATCTGAAAGGCAGAGCATTTTGAAATTTAAATCACTCCAGGCACACGAGATACTTCCAGGAATGAACAGAACACCTCACCGTGAATACGACACAAGTAAAAGACACAGGTTGTCATTAACATTTGCTGAGCCTCACAATTTTTTTTCTAACAGGGAGTGGAGAAAACACACTGACAGAGGCTCTCCTCCTCACTCTGCATTTCTCGGAGAAACCCTCGCTTAAGCTAAATATAGATGCCTGAGCACTATGACAATAATCAACTCCCAATCCAAGCAACTTAGAAGACTTTGCTAGCTCAGCCTCTCCTGCATGGTGCTGAGGAACCTCAGCTCCCGATGGGGAACAGGAGAGAGAACTCGGAACCCCTCCGGGCTGCGCTGCAGATGCTCTGTAATGCCCTCTTGCCCTTAAGGGAAGCTCAGGAGGTGAGCCTACACACACCCTGGCGAGGGGATAACACTGCCCCAGACCCACGTTCTGTGTTCGCAACAGGCTCCTTCCTCATTCCACAGGAATGTACCTGTTCCCAAACACACTAGTGCATGCACAGGGACAGCGTCCCCTCCCACCCCCACGCCCCCAATGCTACAGAGAGTACAAAGATGCAAGCAAACCTCCTTTTTCTAACAAACTCCGGGTTTTTAGCCAGTCTGGCAAAGGATGTTAATCCCAGCTGTGAGGAGGGGCAGACGAGCTACCTTAGTCCAACTCACAGACCCCAGAATGCTGAACAAACGCTTGTCAGACAGCTGGCGATGCAGAAGGGTGGACCTTGCCCATCCCTGCCTTCAGGTGATAGAGCAACATGCGACGACAGTCTGCTGAATCAGGCTCTGCCAAACCTGCTGCCAGCCAGTTGAATTCAGGCAGTGACACAGACCTGCTTAAAAGGACCTTTGCTGGCACAAACTATACTACAATGGCAATGGCTACTGCTCCTCTGTTTCAATACATGGCACACCAACTCGTGTCTCGTTTAAATGTAAGTAAACCTTAGCAAGTAAGGCAGTCTGACACTTTACCATCATTGGAAGCCAGAGAAGGACTTTTGTCAATGCAAGAATCAGCGAGAATCGCTTCTGGGCAAAGCCCATGGTGAAGCTCCTGCTCTGCATGCCATTCACGTAACGGGGCTCGAGCGCTCCGCTCTCCGCCACACCTTTCCGAAAAGCTGCCTCCGAGCCTGGACGTGCATTTTGGAAATGCTTCAGGGTTTTATCCACAGGGTCCACCGGTGACAGAGATGAGGTAGCAGTACTGCAGCCTGCAGGCGTCCCAGGGGTGATGTAGCCTCGAGAGATTTCCTGGTAATCAATATGCAATAGCTGCTGCTCATCTGAGCACAACAGCTGGTAAGTTAGGGGAACAGACAGCACGGTGAGGAGGCAAAAGCACAGCGAGTAGACAATAAATAAAAACAAGATGTAGGAACTGGCACAGTCAGTGAAGCAACCCCAGGAGGTGGGGACGTACTGGCCCCAACCACAGAGAGGCAAAATGCAGATCAGCAAACTGACAATCCAAATGGTAAGAATGGCCCATACCACGCTCACTCGTCGCTTGGAAGTGCCGCAGCTCATTGCCTCAGTTTTGTTGACAGTGTAGAAGTTGTAAGAAACTATAAGAGACCCTTTCAGGTTGCTAGAAATTCCCTGGAACAAATACATAAGCGCTGAGGTGGTGCACAGAGGGTGAGGGAGAACATCACTTGACCACTGGGTGAGCATGAACATAATCACTGGCACAACACTGATCAAATCATCTATTGACAAAGAGGTCACAATCATTGAAACCGTGGTTTTGTTCTGCATTTTCAGCAGGGAAACTAAGGAATAAATGCTGCCCAGGAGTGCTGTGAATGCAATGATGAAAGTCAAGCAGAATAGGAAGACATTCAAAGTTCCCTGCTCGCTAGGCTTATCCATAATGCTGTGATTTTCAGCGAAGAAGCTCGTCCCATTCAGTGACAAATTACTAGGTGTTACCGACATTGTCCTCAGCAAATTTTTTTCTTTGCCTTCTCACTGACTCCGCAAGTTTTCACTAGCTGAAACCAGAACGGTCAGCCCTACACCACAAGTTTGTTTTCCTAGACTCTCTTTTGCGGCATCTTATAAAGAAATACTCAGGTGAAGGCACCCCTGATAGCCAGAACAACTCATGCTCTCGAAAAATCAGGCAAGAATGAAGTATCGAAGGTGCTGAAAAAAAAAGCAATTCTTCATCACCCTTTCAGTACTGGAAGATGGTTAATTTAGGCTCTTCAGGTAATAACATGCCATTCACTTTTGACAGATATCAGGCAATGTGCCTTACTCACGAATTCCGTTGAAGGCAGAATATCAGCTATGTTCAAGCTCTAGTAGCTCAGGGAGAAACATAGTAGAAAGGAAAGGCTGTTGGATTCACCCTGCGCTGGTCTGAGCTGCAGGAGGGAGGAGTCAGATGCAAGCAGGATAGCAGAGACGAAGGGAGTGAGTATCTTCTCGGATGGAGCTGCCTCTTAGCTGGATCAGAAGACTGGAACAGTGTCCCCGCGAAGCCCCACCTCCAATGCTGACACCGAAACCCAATGCAAATACTCAGATCTGATGTCAGCTGCGAATGTCATTCCCGTAAAGCCCACGGCTGCTCCAGGGCTGGGCATCCCGAGCCCGAGCGCTGCTTTTGTCCTTTCGCACTCCTGCGCTCCAAGCTTCGCAGGGGGAAGAGCCGCAGGAGCGGTTCGCAGAGCTGAAAGCGAAGGGAGGGCTGCGCCCGCTCGGCCGCCCGCCAGCCCCACGCCCCCTGCGAGCGTGCGGGTGTGTGTGCACACGCCGCACACGGACGCTCCCCGCACCGCTCCTCAGCGACAGCCGCTCGCCGGTGACAGGTCACGGCCCCGCGCGGGGGCCAGGCGACGCCTGCCCACGCCGCATCTCCCCTCGGGCTGGGGTTTATAAAACTTTCATTCCCCGCAGGATTCGAGTCTGAGCCGCATCAAATGCTGGCTGGCTGGCTGCTCGAGCTGAACACACGGAGAGAATCACAGCCAAGTGCTTTCTGGCACGTTATGAACATTTTCTCTTGAGAAAATGCGATGCTGGTGAAACTTAGAAGCTGACAAAATGACCAACGCTCAGACGTTAAGTGGCTGGACAGGGTCAATGCAAGCTTCTTGGAGGACTCTGTCTCTTTTCTTTTCGGCACCGCTTTGAGTTCATTCAATGGGGACGCAGTACAAATCTTTTCTGATTTTAAGGGTAATACTGTAAGGCTGCTGCAATCACTTGCTAGTCTGGGTAATATTACAAAGCCCCTCCGTTAGGAATCTGTGTTATTAACAACCTGCCCCTTGCTCAGTTCCACCCACTTCGAAACGCGCTGGCTGTGACAAGCCAACAGCTGGCTCGCTGGGCTGCTGTTCCTCCTGCCAGGGCAGGGCTGGGGGCAGCGAGCCTCAGAGGTGCTGGAGCCCCGGAGGGGACGGGCAGTGAAGAGAAGGCACGGCCGCAGCTGTGTCGTGTGACACGACACAGGGATCAGAGCTAAGGGCAATGACAAGTTACCTGAATGACCCCTCCTTCATTCCCCATTTCCACGCTGCCCTGCCATGGCACTGGGAAGGCTTATGCCCCAAAACAGATGAGGTCTTCCAGTCAACCCCACGTGCTCCACACAGCCACAGACCTGTCCTCGTTGCAGGACCTGTCGTAAACCCACGCTCCTCCTGCACAGCCCGACTGGGAGCCTTTGCTTGTCCATTCTCCCTTTCACATCGCAGCTCCCTCTCTTTTGAGGATTCCACATTATTTATCAGCACCACCTGTCAACCCTCATGTCAGAAATCTGCAAGAGAGAAGCATCCATCCTGCCTTCCACACAAGGCACAGTCCTGGATCTGGACCATCCATCTGGCCCTTAGCTGTACAGGATTTGACTTGGCTTTTTGTGATTTATCTGTCCTGCTGGACTATTGATTGTTAATCTGTGCTGTGCCAGCTGAAGGCCAGGGCTCATTTCCTTCTATTTACAAATCACAGTCACCTCTGCCCCCGCAAGTCAACTTTAAATTAAGGACAGTGTTCTAAATCTTAAGATTAACAGTGTGAGCCTGGTCAGAAATACAGTTAAGAGGTAAAAAGAGAAAGAAACTCAGTCACCCTTGTTTGGCCCTTTATTTTGTAGCCTGGCTTCCTCAGGAAACACGTGACCACGCTGCCTGAGCGTGGATGTATGCGTGCGTTATGTCTCTCTCTTTCAGTCCCCATCCCTCAATTCCTTTTGACAAAATGATTGTTTTCCTCTCAATCTGATGGTGTCAAAGCTATTAAGTTCCCACGAATTTTACAAAAATGAGTAGCTGATCAGAGGAGACAGATCACAGGAGGCTGTTGCAGAGTTCCCTCTTCACTAGAAACTAGTGAACACAAAGCAAAGGCTTTATAAATGCTCCAACCATAAGGAAAGCTCCAGCTGAAATGTCAATTAACCTGGATGCTAAACTGCGGGAAACCAGCTTCATCCACTCCGGCACGCCTTAGTGCTTCCTGCCATGTCATCAGTCACCTTCAGTCTTAAATTCCCTGTTTCCATTGCCTGGGTCATCTTCATTAGCTCTTGCCACATCACTGCCCGGTGGTTAGAAACAATTGTAATGATGCTTGGGAAATTTGTTTTCCCTACGTCAGAAAATATTTCTCCTGTATCCTGAGTCATTATGCTGGATGTCCAGTAGCCCTGAAGGCAGATACCAACCACAAACTTTCTGAAAGTTCCCTCAGTACAATCCACCTCCCATACTTTACTGACCTTGCTTTGTTGGCTGTGCATGTACAGCCTCTCTGCCTCTCGGTAGCTTTTTGGACTCTTTGGGAAGAACAGTCCTTTTTGTGCCTTCCGTTTGTATTCGGAGTGAAATGCTCGTCAGTGTTTTTAAGGAGAAAGTCACTTTTATTCATCACCATGCCCATGCAAGGCAGCTGATGTATTACTCACTTCAGCTCATCTTGCCACAGAATGTATTTTATTACATGAACTGTACCTTGCCATGCTCTACGGCAGCTTTTACCGTAACTTACAGTCTGGTGAGACGTTCTTTCCTCTGGTCATTTCCTAGTTATAAACTGAAGGTGATGACTTCAAGCCGCTTCCCTTCATCTTTCTTTAACATAACTGATAAATTCCGATAAAACATGTACAGAAAGATCAGTTTCATCTTGAAACTAAAGAGAGAACCTGGCTGTAGTAAGAAGCATGACGTTCTACAAACAGAAGCGTGATTTTCCACACAGCTCTGCCTCCACGTAGCTGACTTGCAGGCCCAGTAAGGCCTAAGCTCTGAAACTTCTCTTGCAGCTGGGGCAAATGAATCTGAATTAGGTTCTCTGATCTCTTCTAAAGGATGAGTTTATATTTCCAGCTTGCAAAACTTACAGGAACACTACCTTTGCAATTGAAATTCCACTCCCAAATTTCCCTGAAATTCATGAACCAGACCCAACCAGGTCTGGGGGTGGCAAGGTCAGGTAAGCGAGCAGAGGGGTAGACACTGTCATCACAAATTTTCTGAAGGAGCAGCGCTAGGATGGAATAACAGAGCACTGCCAAAAAGCCACGGGTAATGATCTTGCAGAAACCAAGAGAAAGAAAAAGACGCCTTTGTCTGCTGCCGTGTCCTTGGTCTGGACAGTGTCAAGGCAGGCAGGAATTTGTAGATTAAGATCCTTACTACCTACTCCCTTTCTTCTCTGATTTAGCCTCCTGAATTGGGGGAGGCTCCTAATACAAGCACTGTCCTTCGCAATACAGGTATATATTCCTTCCCTGGCATGAATTCTCCGTGCTAAGGAATGATAACAAAGAGAAAATACATTAAGCATGGCAATCTCCTCTCTGGCCTCATTTCAAACAGCACTGCACAACGATGGCTCTTGAAAGAAAGAGTCAGCACCACTCGTCAGCCTATGAAAGGATTGCTGAGAGACACTGCATGTAACAATTCAGAAATGCTTGTAAAGAGAATCACATTCACCATTCACAAAACACAATCAACAAATAGGGTATTAAAAATTTATCCTTGAACTAAGCGAAGCTTTGACTCACGGTTTTGCTTCCTTTTGTCACTCAAGAGAGACAAGGTTATTACAGCAGCTGTACAAGTATTCCATTTCAGAAGGTGAGATAACCTCTGTGCCAGGCATAAATGGGTATATATACATTTAACTCCATAAATGTCTTCGTAATTTATTCCTCAATAGCATGTGAAAGAAAACGTGGCATTTTTTTTCTGGAATTTTTTTAACAGATGTCAAACTAAATGATCATTTTCAGTCTACTGGACTCAGACATCACCTTCAGACACATGATGGTCAAACTGCAGCTAATTATTTCATCTGGTTACTTGCCTCAGATGAATTTAATCAATGGTGCCTTCTAATAAAAGGCAGATACTCTCATACTTAATCCATTTCCGCTGCAGCTGTACGCCGGGCTGTAGGAAAAGGGTGCTTACTGATTTGGAGCAATTGGAGCAATGTAAATCAGGGGTAATTCCATTAAACCTAAAAATATGATTTAGCTTGTGTGCTCATTATGGGCTAGACGGCACCGGCTCCAGCTCAAGCGGAACAGAACCTTGCCGTGCAGATGCTCCTCTACAAACCAACGGGTCAGCGTTACTCGCAGCGGCGCGGCACAGCCTGTCCCTGTGCGGCAGCCCCTCGCTGAGCAGAGGGGCAGTGCTAAGCAGGGCCCACTCTCAGAGCCCCCTAACTTCAGCTTTTTGTGTCCTTGCTGCAAATGCAGACAGTAAATTGAGACTGCAATGAATGAAACATCTTTGCAGAACTACAGAATTAGCAAGAGACAAATGGAGCTAAAGGTCAGCAAGCCCCAAAGTGTCCACGGGTGAGGTATAATCATGGTGTGCCTCTTCCCCCGAGACATTCCGAAGCCTGCAGACAGCATGCCAATGGGCAACGGACCAGTGCCAGCACCTCAGCAGCGAGGC